TGAAGCGCAGGGTTTGACCCGCTCGGGAAGGTGTTTTACTCCCGAGGAGTTAAGAAGAGCTAAAGATAATCCAGCGCTAGTAAAGAAAGCCGTAACTGAAGAAGAAGCAGAAGAATTCTTGAGGAAGATGAAGTTACAGGACTACTCTATCATGGAAAAATTAAGAAAGACGCCTGCTCAAATTTTCCTATTGTCATTATTGATCCATTCGAATGAGCACCGTCAAGCTTTAATGAAGATTTTGAATGAGGCGCACGTTCCCGATAAGGTCTCCGTGAATCACTTGGAAAAAATAGCCAACAAAATCTTCGAAGCAAACAGAGTCACGTTTTCCGATGATGGATTGCCTGTAGAAGGTACTGAGCACAACAGAGCTCTTTACCTTATAGTAAAATGTGAGAACTCTATGGTGACCCGGGTATTGGTTGACAACGGGTCAAGTGCAAACATCTGTCCTCTCTCCACTCTAAGCAAGTTGAAAATAGAAGATGAGAGGATCCATAAGAACAATATTTGCGTGCCGGGATTTGACGGCGGAGGTAAAGATTTAGTTGGGGACATAGTACTGGAGCTGACGATAGGGCCAGTTGAGTTCATAATGGAGTTTCAGGTGCTGGATATAGCTGTTTCCTATAATTTACTGTTGGGTCGACCATGGATCCACGCCGCTAAAGCAGTCCCATCAACACTACACCAGGTAGTCAAATTTGAATGGGATAGACAAGAAATAGTTGTGCATGGGGAAGACAGTTTATGCGCTCGCAGCAATGCCATTGTACCAGTCATTGAAGTGGAAGATGACCAGGGACCATGGGTCTACCAGGTTTCTGACACGATGTTGGTAGAGAAAGTTCCGGAGGGGAAATACATTCCAAATCCAAAGATAACCACCGCATCAGTCATGGTAGCCTATGAGATGTTGAAGAATGGTTTTGTACTCGGTAAAGGTTTGGGATCATCTTTGCAAGGCATCATACAGCTGGTGTCCCTTCCTGAAAACTTAGGAACATTTGGTCTGGGATTCAAGCCCACTGCCGCAGACATAAGAAAGGCCAGAAAGCTAAAACAGAAGGCATGGGTCCTTCCAAAGCCAGTCCCACGTCTTTCCAAATCATTTGTCAAGTCCGGTACCAGAAATCGCTCAGTAACAGCAATTCCCAGTTCTGTGATTGATCCTAACAAAGAGTTAATTGAAATATTTGAGAAGTTGTTCGATAGTGTGAACATGGTGGAAATTGGAGAGGGTTCTAGCAACGCGGAAGTGCAATTTGTCGGGCCAAAAACAAAGCTTAATAATTGGAAGGCTACTCATCTCCCTACTCGGAAGGAGTCTTGGTAGTTTGTTTTGATTTTCTTTTAAGTTTGTACGGATTATTCCAGGGTTGTAATCCAGATTTCATTTTTTTCAGTCTGTTTGAGTGTGCAAACCTTGTTATCTTTTATCATTCAATNGGAAGGCTACTCCTCTCCCCACTCGGAAGGAGTCTTGGTAGTTTATTTTGAGTTTCCTTCAGTTTGTCTGGGTTATTCCAGGGTTGTAATCTAGATTTTTTTTATCTTTCAGACTGTTTGAAGTGTGAAAACCTTGTTATCTTTCATCATTCAATGAAATGCAGTTTCCCTTTCTTTATCATTCCTGATAGTTTTTCTTTTGTTTTTCTTTTATTTTATGTACAGTCCTTTTTACGCTGGTTCTAATGACATGGCATGCATGAGGAATCCTCAGCCCAGTCTTAAAAATCAATCTGATTCTGAAATAATAGTTCAAGAAGTAGATTGTGACTACGAATCAGAATACGATGAAGATGAAGCCTTCGAAGAGATTAGTAAGGAGTTAATTCACTTCGAAGAAAAACCCAAACCCAACCTGAATGAAATAGAAGCCATCAATTTAGGGGACACAGCTAATATCAGAGAGACTAAAATAAGTGTCATCTCAAGCCAAAGATCCGGGAAGAGTTAATCAAAGCACTCATCGAATACAAAGATGTTTTTTCATGGCCGTATGACGACATGTCGAGTTTGAGCACTGATTTAGTGGTCCACAAATTGCCCATTGATCTAGCGTTTTCTCCCTTCAAGCAAAAGTTGAGGAAATTCAAAACTGATATGAGTGTGAAGATTAAAGAAGAAATCACCAAGCAGTTGGATGCAAAGGTTATTTGGGTCACTCGATATCCTTTTTGGTTGGCTAATGCCGTGCCTGTGCCGAAAAAGGACGGCAAAATCAGAGTATGCATCGATTACCGCAATCTTAACAAAGCAAGTCCAAAGGATAACTTCCCCTACCCAATATCCATATTTTGATCGATAATTATGCCAAGCGTGAGATTGGATCTTTTGTGGATTGCTATGTCGTGTATCATCAGATTCTAATGGATGAAGAAGATGCAGAAAAAACGGCATTCATCGCTCCATGGGGAACTTATTGCTACCGAGTAATGCCATTTGATTTGAAGAACGTTGGGGCAACTTACATGAGGGCGATGACTACAGTGTTTCATGATATGGTACACAAAGAGATTGAGGTATACGTAGATGATGTGATCATAAAATCAAAGCATCAGGCGCCGACCACTTTGGGGATTTGAGGAAATTCTTCCAGAGACTTCGCAGGTACAACCTCAAGCTTAACCCTGCCAAGTGCGCATTTGGTGTTCCATCCGGAAAGCTGTTGGGATTCATAGTCAGCCGGCGAGGCATCGAGTTGGACCCATCAAAGATCAAAGCCATCCAAGAATTTCCACCTCCGAGGAACAAGACTGAAGTGATGAGTCTGTTAGGGAGGTTGAACTACATCAGCAGGTTTATTGCTCAACTCACAACAACTAGTGAGCCTATTTTCAAATTGCTGAAGAAGGATGCTGTGGTCAAATGGACTGATGAGTGTCAAGAAGCATTTGATAAGATAAAAGGATACTTGTTAGACCCACCTATGCTGGTTCCTCCAGAACTAGGGAGACCTTTGATTCTTTACTTGACAGTCTTGGAAAATTCATTTGGCTGTGTACTGGGGAAGCATGACATCACCGGTAGAAAGGAACAGGCCATATACTATCTTAGAAAGAAGTTCACGACTTATGAGGTTAAGTACACTCATCTGGAAAGGACATGTTNTTGAGTATAAGGCCTGTATTTTGGGTCTAAGGCTAGATGCAGACATGGATATCCATGAAGTCTTGGTCTTGGGAGACTCAGATCTTCTGGTACATCAAATTCAAGGAGAATGGGAAATGCGAGATTTGAAGCTCATACCGTACCGACAATGTTTGCATGATCTTTGTCAACAGTTTTGATTAGTGGAGTTCAGGCATATTCCTAGGGTCCATAATAAGGTCGCCGATGCTTTGGCTACCCTGGCATCAATGTTGCACCATCCGGACAAAGCTTATGTCGATCCTCTGCATATTCAAGTTCGAGATCAGCATGCTTATTGTCACATGATTGAAGAAGAACTTGATGGCGAACCATGGTTCCATGATATCAAGGAGTACATCAGAATGGGGATATATCCAGTGCAATCCACGAGGGATCAAAAGAGAACAATTCGACGGTTGGCAAGTGGATTCTTTTTAAGTGGAGGAGTTTTGTATAAAAGAACACCAGACCTTAGATTATTAAGATGCATAGATGCTAGACAAGCTATAGCTGTCATGTCCGAAGTACATTCGGGAGTCTGCGGACCACATACGAGCGGATATGTGCTAGCAAAGAAAATTCTCCGAGCAGGTTATTATTGGCTTACCAAGGAGCGAGATTGCATCAGTTTTGTGTGCAAATGCCATCAGTGCCAGATATACGGAGATTTGATTCATTCTCCACTATCGGAATTGCACACAATATCGGCACCATGGCCCTTCGTTGCTTGGGGCATGGATGTCATTGGACCAATTGAGCCAGCAGCATCCAATGGGCATATGTTCATTCTGGTAGCCATTGATTATTTCACCAAGTGGGTTGAGGCTAAAACTTTCAAGTCTGGAACCAAGAAAGCAGTGGTTGATTTTGTTCACTCAAATATCATCTGTCGATTTGGAATCCCAAAGGTGATCATCACGGATAATGGTGCTAATCTTAACAGCAATTTGATGAAAGAGGTATGTCAACAGTTTAAGATTACACACCGCAATTCCACCCCATATCGTGCCAAGGCGAATGGAGCAGTTGAGGCAGCCAACAAAAACATAAAGAAGATACTTCGGAAAATGGTAGAAGGTTCCAAGCAATGGCATGAAAAATTACCATTGCATTGCTGGGTTATCGCACTACTGTCCGTACTTCACTAGGTGCAACTACTTATTTGTTGGTATATGGAACTGAAGCAGTGGTACCTGCAGATGTTGAAGTCTCGTCCCTTCAGATTGTCGCTGAGGCTGAGATTGATGATTATGAGTGGATCAAAACCCGTTTGGAGCAGTTGAGCTTGATTGATGAAAAAAGATTGGCAGCTGTGTGTAGGGGTGGGCATATATCGGGTAAAACTGATAACCCGAACCGTTAATTACTTATTGGGTTATTGGTATTGAGTTATTGGGCTAATGGTTCGGTAACGGGTTAAAAAAAATTTCTTATTGGGTTATCGGTTCGGGCTCGGTTTATCAAATCTGTTATTGGGTAAACCGATAACCCAATAAGGGTTTACTAATTTACTAGTATACCCTTTAGTCTAGTAATAATACTAGGGTTTCATACTTTCATTTTCATTAGTCTGTCTGTCCGCCTCCTCACAGTCACAGCCTCACTAACTCGTTTCCTTTCCTGTGCTTGAGCCTTGAAGTCCTCAGTCCTCACTCCACACTCCTCAGTTAAGCTGAAGCCCTCAGTGACAAGTTAAGCTCAAGCCCTCAGTGCTCAAGCCCTCAGAGTCCTTCATTTCTAAGGCGGAAAAGTCCTTCAGTAACAAAACACTGAGGCTCAGTCAGTCAGTCAAGCCCTTAGTCCACAGTCCTCACCCAGTTCTCTGCCAGTCCGCCACCTGCCACACGGCTGAAACAGTCAAGCCCTCACCAGTTCTCTGCCTCATGACTCACGCAGTCACGCCCACACGACTGAGCCCGTCAAAACTCAGTTTTCTATATCTTTTTCCGGCAGAGCGTTGCACTAAGGTTAGTGTTTCATATCCCATTTCTGAATTCGTCTTAGTTTGGTATCTTAGAAATCAATTTTTGCATATTTTCCTTTTTTATGAAGCTCGAAAGAGTGGGGGTTACAAAAGAAGTTAACTAAATGGGAAATCGAAAGGACGCAGAAGCGGGACCAAACTAAGACTGATTGGTCTTAGTTTCCCTAAAATGTTTGGTTTCTTGAATTTATACTACACTGATTGTTTGGTTTCCTTTTTCATACTATACTGATTTATACTATAACATCATGCAAATTTAGTGGGTAACATCCTGAAAATTTGGTGTTGCACTGATTTCCTTTTTCCTTTCTGCTTGATAGTTGCTGCTTAGAGCCTTAGACTGAGTAATGTAGTGTTCTGTATTCCAATGTTTAACCAGTTTACAATAACCTGCAAACAAGCTCTAGAGAATTGGCATTCAAAGAACAAATGTTCAATTGTCTCAGGTGCACTATCACATATTGTGCAAATTGTGTCCTGTCTACATACCAAGTATTGAGCATTTATTAAAAAAATATATGTTTCATTTTAAGATTTTAAGCTAAATATGTAGTTATATGTGTTTCATTTTAAGATTTTGTTGTCTCGCTGCTTGATTTCTTTTAAATCAAATTCACAGTGACACAAAAACATGGCTGAAAATATCATGATTGATAAGGTGATTGGTGAAAGTGGAGCTTCTAATTCAAATGCCACATCACAATCTCAATCAGTTCAATCGAAAGCAAAAAAACAAAGAAAAAAGAGGTCTGTTGCATGGGAATATTTCGACCAAATTATTGATCCGGAAGGAAATCAAAAGGGTGTTTGTAAACATTGCAAAAGAGAATATTTTGCCGATTCAAAAGATAATGGTACGAAATCACTCCTTACACATATGGCCAAGTGTTTAAAAATGCTTTTAGATGTTGCAAAAAGTCAATCGAAACTAGGCTTTAACCCTATTCCGGGGGGTAATAAGGGTGATGTAGCCGTTGTTCCTTGGAAATTTGATCAAGAACAATGTAGGAAGGCTTTGTGTCGTATGGTGATCGTTGATGAACTTCCTTTCAGCTTTGTTGAAAAGGAAGGTTTTATGAATTTTATGAAAGTTGCACAACCTTTTTTTCGAATTCCTTCACGTAGAACTGTGACTCGGGACTGTTTTGATCTTTTCAATGATAAAAACGTAAGTTGGTGAAGCTTTTTAAAGATCAGAGAGTTTGCCTTACCGCTGATACTTGGACTTCCTTACAACGAATAAATTATATGTGTATTACTGTTCATTGGATTGATAGTGAATGGAAAACGCATAAAAGAATTGTCAACTTTTGTCCAATTTCTAGTCATAGGGGGGAATATATGGCAAATAGTATTGTTAATTGTTTGAAAGAGTGGGGGTTACAAAATATTTTCACTGTCACAGTTGATAATGCTAGTTCAAATGATGTGACGGTGAAGGAGCTTTCTAAGAAGTTAACTAAATGGGGGACCAATTCTATGAATGGTAAGCACCTTCACGTGAGGTGTATGGCTCATATTATGAATCTTGTTGTTCAGGATGGTATAAAAGAATCAATTGTGTCTATTGAACGTATTAGGCAAGCAGTGAGATATATCAGGCAGTCTCCTGCTAGGTGGAAAAAGTTTCAGGAATGTTGTGATGAAGGAAATCTAGTTAGAAAATCTTTATGTTTGGATGTTCCTACAAGGTGGAATTCTACATACTTAATGTTGAATAGGGATATTGAATATGAGAGTGCAATTTTAGAATATGTTGATCATGATATTGGCTTGTCACATCATCTTGAGTTTGTTGATATTGTAAATGGAAGTCCTGCAGGTACACTTTTGAGTAGTGATTGGGAGGATGTAAAGAAATTGACAAAATTTCTTGAAATCTTTTATAAGCTTACTGTAAAGGTATCTGGCTCACTTTATGTTACATCAAATCATCATTTTCTTGAAATTTGTGAAGTTGCTGTTTACTTGAAACAATTGATATTAAATGAAGATGTTTTGTTGGGTTCAATGGCAAAGAAGATGAAGGAGAAATTTGATAAGTATTGGGGTGATCCAGAAAAAATGAACAAAATGATTTTCATTTCATGTGTTTTGGATCCTCGGTACAAGTTTGATTCTGTTAGTTTTGCACTTGCGAAGATGTTCGAAGAGAAAGGGCCAATTATCGCGAAGGGAGTACATACATACATGACTTCATTGTTTGATGAGTATGTACAGTCTTATTCAAAAGATAAAGTTTGCCATCCCTCTTCATGTTTATCTAACTCTTCATTGGACACAATGAAAACTTCAAATGGATCTTTTGGTTCTTTCTTTGAAGAATTAAAAAGACATAAAGCTGGGATTGGAGGTTCAGATTCTAAATCAGAATTGGAAAAATATCAAACACAAGAAGTTGAAAATGAAATAGCAGACGGTAATATATTGCTTTGGTGGAAAGTAAACTCACCTAGATTCCCCATTCTTGCTGAGATGGCTCGGGATGTATTATCTATTCCTATTTCAAGTGTTGCATCTGAATGTGCATTTAGCACTGGAGGACGTATTCTTGATTCATTTAGGAGTTCATTGACTCCTAAATTGGTGGAAGTTCTCTTGTGCCTTCAAGATTGGCTTCGAAGTGAGCCATTACCTGTAAGTGTTGAGGAAGATTTAGATGTTCTCGAGCAACTAGAACAAGGTAGCAATATTTTAATTTGTTTGATTGTATATTATTTTTATAAATAGTTTATTTAATATTTTTGTTGTTTGACTTGTTAATATATATTATCATAGATTTTGCCAATCTTGGAAACGAACCCTGCGATGATGATATGTAGAATCTTAGATAGTTGTAAGTTAAAACTTTGGTAAGTTAATTATTCAACTTATATGTTATACATAGTATGATTACAAATATTACTTGCTTAATATATTTTCTTATTATGGTGTGGGCAGGTAATAGTGTAGTTACAACCGGTAGGAAGATAATTGGAGCAACAAACCCGTTGGAGTCTGCTGCTGGCACCATTCGTGGTGATTATGTTATTGACATTGGGAGGTAAAACATCTAATTTCCCAGTTTAGTGTTTGCTATAACGTACATTTGTCTCAAACCAATGTGCCAATAGTTAGGATCATTATGTCTTCCAGCACTCCAAACACCATGTTAAAACTCAGTTGACAACTTCTCTGCTGAATGATGTTATGTAATTCGGTATTTCGAGCTCTTATCCTGCTAGTGATGTTGATTGCTCAGCGATTAAAAAAACGTAAATCTGTTCCTTGGATAATCATTGGGTGCAGAATTTATCAGATTTTGTTCGTGTTCAGTTGCTAATGATTTTTCACCAAAGTCATAGTGCTGAGCATTGCAACAGAAAATGGCATTTGTGCCAAGTTCACCTTTTCTTTTATGGCTTCGTTGATAGCCACAATTCTGTTAAGAGTGCTAAGAAGGAAATTGCTCTTTGGTTTCCTGAAGGTGTCGCGCAGTGGCAGAGCAGCCTTCACTCTTGGATCTATGAGTAAAAGATATTATGAGTTAACTACTTTATTGGTGCCCTTTTTTTTNTTTGTTAGATTGGAATTTGAGCTGTTTGCATTTTGTATGCACAGGCAATTGAGGTACTGCCGTACTGGGTATGTTTAGTTTGAGGCAAAAAATGTACAGCTTTGTGTGCTGAAATTATTCAGTGAGAAGTTTAACTTTAAACTGAAATTATTGTGAGAAATGTTAGTTTTATGTGCAGCTTTCTGTGCAGTTTTCTGTTATCATATTTTTTTTATGTGTCGTTATTATGTGTTCAATATAGCAGCTGTAGTTTGATTCTTGTTACTCAGCTGTAGTTTAGCTTGAAGTGTCATATATAGTAGCTTCCAGTAAACTTTGTACAAAATTTACTTTGTACAAATATTAGCGTTCAGCACTCTTAATTTTAGGTAATATTCAGCGTTCAACAATCAGCAATCTTAGTTTTAGTTTTACCTTATCGGGTAAACCGATAACCGAACCGATAATGATCAATAACCGATTAACCGATAACCGATAACCAATATCTTATCGGTTTGGTTATCGGGTTATGATATTTGTAAACCGATAACCGATAGGCAAAACCGATAATATTCAAAACCGAACCGAACCGACCGATGCCCACCCCTAGCTATCAATTCTGATGCAGTCAAAAGATATTATGTATGGTTTCTTTGGTTCAATTGTTGATTGTTTGTACTTGGCATTGTTTCGAAGATTGGAATGACGAAGACAATTTGTTCTGCTATCTAAACATTTTACCCTTTGTTTCCCCTTTTGAGCCTTATTTATTTTATTTCATACCCCTCTTTTGGAATCAATAACGAAAAAGAGAGAAAAGAAAGAAAAGAAAAAGAAAAGAAAAGAAAAGAAAAGAAGCGAAAAGAAAAAATACAAGAAAATAAAGAAATTCAGGCAAGAACTACGTTTGACCTGATTCCTGTTAAGGATACATAGGCAGCCTCACGACTTGGTCATGGTAAAATAAAAAGTCAAAAGATCCCCAAGCAAGAAACTGGGGCAGAAGTTGTGATTGTAATAAGAAATGTGATTCCAAAAATTGTAATTCTAACCCATTTGAAGTTATTTTGAGCCCGCTTTATACCCTTTTCCTTCCAAACATAACCAAGAACCCACATTGCTGTCCAAAGAAAAACCTCCCGATCAGTCTTCGAGAGATGCCAAGTCAAGCAATGTAAAGAAAATTCATATCAGGGGCAACACTCCGGTTTAAGCAAGAAAAATCAAAAAATGAGAGAGTCTTATTGGTAAAAACCCTCATGGGCACCATGAGGCGACGAAAACCGAGAGAAAATAAAAATGAGAGAGTCTTATTGGTGAAAACCTTTGCGGGCACCATAAGGCGACAAGGAATTGAGGAACAAACAAATGAGAGAGGTTTGTCGGTGAAAACCCTTCAGGGCACTGCAAGTCGAACAAGGTCTGTAAGTTGGCGGAAAGTAAAATTGGGTTGTGGAAATCTTGGAGAACAAAGTAAAACAATTGGAAAGGAGATTGGTTAAATAGACTGGGCTGATTAATCCAAAATACATACCATGATCATTGGTGCCAGTGACTCCACTCAGATAAGTTCTTTTTCCTATCTCCAACAGTCATCCAAATTTGGATTTTCTTCTTTATTCTTAATTCTCAAAATTGTTTCATTTCATTGATATTAATTTTTACTCCTCTAAAGCTCTCCCAAGGTTAGCCTTGTTTCAACAAACAAGAAGGAATGTCAAAGTGTACTACCAGAGTCAAAATTGCACAAAGCAAAATGCGGCTAAGACATGCTGGAGATAGTATGATGAAAAGTGGGACATATGGTGTAAGCAAAGGTTAAATCAGTGGAATGGTTCAGTAATGTCATGGGAGATGTATGATTACAAAGAAAAGGTTCAAAAGTGAAAACAACAGTTGGGGATCTTGCAATTAAGGATCAGTCAGGAGGTCAAAACAATTCTTGACCAGTTCAAGGCAGTCGGTCGAAGCAAAGCATCACAAAGAGAAAACCATCCCCAGCAAGAATGCCACATTAACCACCACATTTTAAACTGACAAAATTTTCTTTGATTTAAAATAGGGGCAAAGATGGCATTTGTTTCAGGAAGCACCCTGTAAGGAAAGCAAGTACCATGCAAGTTTGATCGCAGAATTCTCAGGACCCTCATGGAAAATGGGACTTAGTTTAAAATCTAAAATAATCATAAGTAGTAGAT